AGGCAAGACATCAGTTCTTAAGAAGGTCAGGGGCATGACTGACAATTATGTGAACGACTCATAAGGTGGAAATGATGCAAAGACTGAGCTGGATGAGAGTAAAAAAAGAAAAGTCTTTTCTAGGCCAATACAGCCCTGTCTACACAAGACAACAAATGGTTTAAAAATAGAGCCACCAATCAGTTGCTCTGACTAGCCAGCTGCCCACAATTCCCTCCGCCGGCGCTGAATCGACCGGTCACTCTGACATCACGTGCATGACCCATATTCAGAAAAGTTCCAGAAGCTCCGTGATAACCTCATATGCGAAGTCAGCAGAGGTACGCACACTTCAGCCTCGCTTTCAACATTTTTCAGGGGGTAAAACTCACTATTCAAGCACAGATTTGATGAAAAAATTGATAAAGGACAAATGACGTGAGACTGAGGCCCCGAGGCGAAGTCCCGCGCTGCTGTGTGCTCAACAATGCGCCCGAGCCGGCTCTGGACTCGCTGTGGGCAAGGAGCTGCGTACTCCGTTCTCCACAACCTGACTTATGCTGTCCTGGGAGCCACCCGGGCCATTTCAGTTCTGAGTAAAGACTACCAGCCTTCCGTGCGATATGCTGTATTAAAGGTGATTTCCTTCACAGTCCTGCATTCAACACAATCTGCTTCCAGAAACGAGGACACGTTCCCGAATCAAGAAATGGCATCAAAACCAGCATGTTTTGTTTCTGTGGCGTGATTAAGGAGAACATCAAGAATCTACAGTTTAAAAGTACCAATTAAAGAAGGCTTTTTCAAAAAATCATGACTATCTTAGGGTTTCCCATTTATTAGCTGAATTCTGGGCACTTGAATTCCTGTTCATGGGAAGCTATCCAGAATTTGGTTTGCTTCATTTACGAAGCGTTTTGATGAGGTACTGGGCACCATACAGATTCGAAAACGAGCTAACAATAAATGAAATATTTTTTTCTTAAATTTGTTCAGACTCCATGGTTTTAATTCCAGTACCAATGGAGGGCACATCCTCATCTTACTATCTAAAATGTTCAATGTGGTAAGAGAAGATGGAAGGTTTAAAATTTTTTTTTTTATTAAACTTCTGAATCCTTTTGTTTTGAAGCCAAAAATATTCTAGCATCTGTAATTGATTATACTCTAAAAGGAAAGAACACAGATATTAGTTATTTCTGATGGTGCAGACCATCAAATTAAAGTTGATCTATGCTACTGGAAGTCCTTCTAGATTTGGAAAGTAAATCATTTTCCTATATACTCAGAGCATCCTGAAGGACAAACCGAGAAATATGGGAATTCTTGGTTTTATTTATTCACTTTCTTCATTATGTCTAATGCAACTTCATCACGCCAGGTCTCTCTTATCATTCTCTTAGATTGAAAAACCAGAGGCTCCTGAAAAATGTAATACCCTTCTAATATTTTTTAGACTTTCATTTGCACTTAAAACAGGACAAATGCCCCAGAATTCCATTAATGTTTCTTGCAAATCCGATAATCAAATTGCCTGGATTTCTATTACTGGAAGTCAAGACAAGGAACTCTCCTGTCAAGAGAAATTGGCAGAGGTCGTTTCTTCCACGCCTAGGCTAGATTTCCACATGACCTCCCTTTTCTAAAACCGTGCCTATAATGTGTATCTCCTGGACAGATCTGTTACTTGGACTGTTTTTTTTATGATCGTGCTGTAGGAGTTAAGGTAAGTCTCCTAAACACACCTTGAATCATTGTTGAGCTTTTCATGCACCAAGCTAATTGAAGGCAGGTATATAGTGATAGCTTGATCCATAAAAGTACATTCCACTTCTTCCTTTTTTAAAATACTTTAACTGTTAAGAAGTAGACTCTCTTGAAGTCAAACAGTAAACAGAAGTCATGCTGCCAGTCCCTTTCCAACAAATTTAAACGAGGAAGATGTTTCCACGAGTTCACACCATCTAGCTTATCGTGATCATTAACTTTCCTTATAGAGCCAGGAAGAACATTTACAGACTACTGAGCTTAGAGAAGAGAGCCAGCCTGAGTGTGTGGGCTGTCATCCCCCCAATGTTCTGAAGCAGGTACCTGGTAGGTATCAGAGTTAAGGGGCTCTCGGTAGCTCTTCCTCAGAAGGGAAGGATTCCCTCATTACTTCTACAGACAGGTTCTTGCAAAGACATCTAAATGTGTGTGTGGGGGGGCTCATCTGCTGTATATAATATTCTTTGCACCTGTATCTTATACAACCGCAGGGCCATGAATCATGTTCTCAGTGTATTCTGAAAAAAATGAGTAGGAAAAAATGCTTGTAAGACTTTATATAACCTCTTTTGCAACTCACCCACAGAAGAGAAAAGAGGCATCTAATGGTGAACAAATGTCTTTTCAAGCCCCGAGGCGGACATGCCAATTAGTGCAGTGTAATCTGAGTCAAACCTGTCCATTTTAACACACTGCCGAGAAGGTAGCGAGAGTCTGGTTTGACATCTCCAGGAAAGCCATGGAGCGGTTCTCTAAAAGACATTTTCATTACTCTATCTCCCAGAGTTTAATTTAGAAGGTCTCCTAGACCTGTTTTCCTTCTTGAGGAAAAAAAAAAAAAAAAAAAACAAGACTTAAAGAGAAATTCTAAAATTACATGTGGTCTTCCTTCCCTTTTTATATACTTAAAAAATAATGAAAAATGGTTGCCTCGAGAAGGGCACCAGCCCACTCCAGGGAGGAGGTCAAGCCTCTAATACAAAAGGCGCTAACCTTCGGATACGGGAGGCGCCCGCGTCAACCAGAATCATAAATGGGCAACAAGGACATGTGTTATTTTAAAGGAACCAACTCTCACAGCCGCTCTGCGTAGCACTTACCCTGCCTATGGCTGAAAAGCAGGTGATGGAGGTTTCATTTGGAACCAGAAGGGCTTGCAATAGGTACTTCTCCCTAATCACTTCTTAAAGAGAGTTTAAAATGAAGGACACTTAATCATACTCTTACTTTATGTTCTTTTAATCACCAAATGATGGTTAATTAGTTATCACAGAATCGGAAAAACACTTGTGTGAAAGGAGATTTCTGGAGACTGATGGTTCCTAGGACTGGGCACCTGCAAAGAGCTCATTTCAGTTTCTCTGAGAGGAATCAATATACACTTGCAGCTAATTAATGATTTTTCTCTTTTTTCAGTCCCCAAAGTTTTTTAAAATGGCCCTCTGTCAGAAGGGAACCAAAAAGAAGATTTTTATAGATGGTCTGTGTCTCAATTCCTTTGAAATCTGGCTTTTTCCCATAAGAAAGAACTGAGAATATATGAAATGTGTATTAGATCATTGCTTGGTCAGGTTATTAATCCAAAGCATGTTCAAAATAAGACACTGCTTCCGCCTTTAATCTCCATCTCTGCATCACACAAGCGAACAAAACAAATGGAAACATTTCCCCCTGTCTTCATGGGGTATGGATCACAAAGATCCAAGATGACAAGGTGCTGCTGCTAGTGGTTAAGAAGGCGCTACATGAGAAGCAGGGTCTCGTGGATTCCTGAGACAGTCTGATGAAGAGGAGGGCAGAAGAGAAGAGGCCCCAGAACTCAGGAAGACAGTGATGTTGCATGAGCCACCCACCCGTCATTCATTCTGGGACTAAAACATGTGGCCAGAACCAAACAGAAGCCCTCTCTACAAACGGGGAGGAGTGTGAGAAGTCATGAAGAAAGAACAGCCAAGGAGGGCCTGAAGAGCCGGCCCTGTTTTGGGCTAAATGCAGTGACAGTGGGGACAGGATGAGAGGCAGGCCGACGCCTTGCCAGTCAGAGAGGCACGGAAACAAGCGGCCTTCCCCGGGCACCCAGACCCCAGGGAATCATCGACAGGCTGACAGGTTTGGTGGGAAGAATGTGAAGGTCACAGATGTGCGTCATCTTTTGGTGAAGTAAGACAGAAAGGGCCACCCGTGCACCCCCTCTTGGTAGTGAGTCAAGCACCCTTTGTTTTCATTTTGTTTGTTGTCGTGGAGATGGAGGCCCAGCAGTGGGAGTGTTAGGGACACACCACGGCCGAGGCCAGATGCCCTGATCCATCTGCATGTATAGAAAAGGAAATTCAACCCTCTTCAGGTGTCAAGAGCCCACCCTTAGAATCATGTGTTTTTTCCTACAGCTTGCTCATTTCATGGTGGGAAGGGAGCAAGCTGCTAGGAGGGTATCGAGTCCGCATGTATTTTAAACAAAACGTTAGAATTTTCCCTAACTACAGTCTTTCCATATGATTTCAGCAAGAGAATAAATAATTTCAAATGCTTAAGATATACACCAGGGAACAGGGAATTGCTTTTTACTTAATCTGGGTTATAATTTTCCCATTAAAATCTACCCATATCAAGTGGAGGGCACAGGGAAATAACAATTATTTTTAAAAGTTTCAACTGTTCAGTTTAAGGATAGCTCTGAAAACACAATTTAGTTTGAAATTCAAGCTGTTTCATTTCCTACTTAATCTTGTAAATTTCCTTCCCTTACAATACTCAGGTTGGAAGGGTGCCAAATTAGACCAGGAGCAAATTGTCACCAACTTCACTTCAGTGCTTTATTTTTAGATTATATTAAAAACCTCATTAGGCTCCCTGAGGGAAAGAGTGTTAGCCACTAACAGAGGCAGGGGGATAAAGGAAACGGAAAGATAAGCTGAATTGTTAACAAGGAAAGCTCGCTTGAAACACTTGTCTGAGGTCGTTGTAAATGCTAAAAGAAACTTATTACCAAGACCAGGTGAAATGACTTGAACTTGGAGTGTCATCTTTTACCCCCAGGCTAGGAAGGGCTAGTCAGGCTTGTCAAAGTGGCATATGTCTTTATTATGATTTCCAGATGGGATGTGGAAGGGAGGGGTGGGTGGAAGGAGAGGCAGAGACCTCTTCAAAGACTGTAAGCCAAGTGCTCTGTGCTCTCGCCCAATAGAAATGTGCAGCAGAGCCCCCCACGGACAGGCTGAGAGGTGGGTGGGCACACCAAGACACTGGCTGCGAGATTAAATGGAGTGTTGGGTGAAACATAGAATTTATTCATGTATTTACATAATTTATAATCTTTAAGCAATGGTCTCATAAATATAGACTACAACTTTACATATGCTAAGCAACAGGTAACTGTTTTCCCCACCAAAATATCTGGGTTAAATAAAAAATTGACAGAATTTACACCACTTTCTTTACTATCTCTCTTCTTCCTCTTTTTTAAACCACTGCTAGTCAGTTCAAACATACGCAATTCAATTTATTCCATGCAGCTTCTCTACCGCCACCATCTTGATCATGAGAGCTTATTTAAAAAGGTGCCAGTGATGTGTTTTGTGACACATACAGGACGAGGTTGGAATGCAAACCTCGGGTGAGCTATGCATCTGTTGTTACCGTTATTAATTTACTGTATGTTATCATGGGCTAAAGTGCTTTAGAGATGGTGCGGACGGAGTCATTTCCATCAGTCCTATAAATAACCCAGTTTAGCTCCCAATAATGATTGCCATCCCTCCACTTACGATCACCTACCACATTTTAAATGATACGATTCCCTCTAACAGTGGTAACGGGAAACCAAGGAAATTACAATCTCTGCAAGGTCTTTTCTTCCTCAAGAACCATGAAAGTGCTAATTTTCCCTTTACAAATGTTACATAAAATCTTGATTACAAAACTACTCAACAATTTAATCCTACCATCCGTACAATTACATGTTCCTTTTCAGCAAGGTCAAAAGCCATCGATGCAGTCCCTTTGCACACCAGACTCGTGACACGACGGCGGTCTGCAGACGGAAATGTTACTGCTGCAGCCTCCAAAGAGGAAGCGGAACTGGCCAACCTCTCTTGAGTCCTTTTTGCATGAAGACCCAAACCGGCGAGGCGAAACCTGCCGGCAGGGACCCCAGCCCTCCTGTTAACCTTCTGGACCACCTACTTCATCATCAAGTCTGGGAGGCCGAGGCTCGGTCAGCAGCAGCTTCGCTGCGGCTCGGAAGGCTGTCTCCGGAGCTTGAAGCCCTTGCCGCCAGACGGCGGGTTGGCGTCAGCGGACGGAATTCTTCGACCTAGACGGAGAGGAGAGGAGGGAAGGGAAGGAACTTTAACTTTCCAAATCTGTTCATTCGCAGACGCAACAATTGTGCAGATGCAATTTGACGGGTTTCACTAAAATAAAAAGAGTTGAACAAATTTTCAATCTGGGAATCATCTTCAATTTATAGAAAAGTTGCAAAGATAACGTAGAGAGTTGCTATCTAGCCCTCACCCAGGGCATGTCCGCATCTTAACTCCCATGGGACATTTGTGGACATGAAGAATTGGGCACTGGCACATCACTAAGGTCCAGACTTTGTGCAGACGACGTCAGTTTTTCTACTCATGTCCTATTTCTGTTCAAGGGTCTGAACAAGGATACCACATTGCATTTAGTAAAAATGTTTTTAAATAAAAAGAAATTACATGCCAACAAAACATCCTGAGTAGGGAATATATGCACTTTGGTAATTCCATCCGAACATGCTATCCCTCGGCCTCGGGGCAGAGCCACCATCCAGAGACAGGTGTGCAGGGAGGCCTACAGGACACACTCACACGTGTACCTGGCCCCCTCCTCAAGCCCTGAGAGGAGCAGACAGGTGCACTGTTGTCCACCTTGCCGCTTCCACTGGAGACGCTCTGGGGGCGGTCCCCCTGCAGCACTATTTCTAATAGCTCTGTGTTACTGCACCGCATGGGTGTACTGTGATTTATTTATCCATCCCCGTTGATGGGTATTTAGTTTGTTTCCAACACTGTGATGGTATTAACAACAATGTAAAAAATATCTCTGCGAACCAATGTGTAAGATAAATTAACAGGAGTGGAAGAACTGGGTCACGCTATTCTACTCCTGGGTATTTATCTGACACACACACCATATTCCCAGTGTCTATCTAGCACAAATGCAAGAAGGACGTGCAATTTAAATTTTGACAGATGCTGCCAAATTGCTCTCTGAAGAGGTTGTGCCACTTTATTCTCCTACCAACAATGCATGAGAATGAACAGGTTTCCCTTTACTGCTCCATGAAGCATAATGTCAATTTCAGGAGAAACCTTAAATCACCATCCACCTACCCAGCCCCTAACGCAAGGGCTGTGTCCATGCACAAAGGCCTTCCAGATGCCCTCCCACTTCTTAGCTCTCTCCAATACTTCCCACACTAAAATCAGCCAGGAGCCAGAAGCACATTACTTACTTGCCTACAGAGCTATGTCCCTTGAATTAGACCCTAAGCTCTTCGAGGTAAAAGGTTCTTTTTTCTCCATCTTTGTTTCTGGTATCTATTTAGCACAGTACCGGGCACGGAGGGATTTTGAAAGCATGGAATGAAGAGACACATGCATCTTATGGCACTAACAAGGCTGCCAATTCTTAGGTCCTTGGTCACCAAGCCTGGAGCCTCTAGCATGTTGGGCAGCCTGGAAAGCCAGGAGGGTAGTACACAGCATGGTGTCTACACTTCAAAGTGTCCCCCAGAATGTCCTATAACTACTTTTCAAATGCCTGTAGATACTGCTGTGAATAAATTGCAAATTTATTTAAAAGCTTTACTGAAGCTTCTTGTTGTTACGTATTTCTAATAAATGGATCATGGAAATCCAGCTGGTATTACATGCCATCTCTGAAACAGTCTTAGAAGAAAGCAGAGGAGAACATCTTTATAACCTGGGAATAGACCATGACCTCTTTTTTTTTTTTTTT